ATTGGAAAAACGTTGCCTGGTCTGATGAGTCTCGATTTCTGCTGCGACATTCGGATGGTAGGGTCAGAATTTGGCGTCAACAACATGAAAGCATGGATCCATCCTGCCTTGTATCAACGGTTCAGGCTGGTGGTGGTGGTGTAATGGTGTGGGGGATGTTTTCTTGGCACTCTTTGGGCCCCTTGGTATATATATATATATATATATACAGTATATATAATTTTTTATTTTTTCCGGAATTTTCAGGAAAGTCCACTTTCATCTCTGTAAGTTGTATTCAATTCAATCAACATGAATGGTGTCTTTCCACAAAATGGCTGCCAATATGGCATGGTGTGGAAAATCAAGTGGCAGGAATCTTAAGGATAAAAATACCGAGTAATTGAACACAAAATACATCATGTTCAAATGTAAGAATCATATTTATGACTACCAACCTGTCTTCAAGTGTAGCAATAAGCAGTTTCCAGTGTAACAAACTAGCAAACAATATTCACTTGTCTTCCAACTTTGAACGGACAATGTCAACATATATTTCAACAAGAATAAAAGCAATCCTTTTTGCTTGAGTGCCTTTCTAATTGTAACGACTAAATTTGACAATGTTTGGTGGAGGGGGGCACGTTTAAAGGGGTGTTTTGCGGTCCCAAACCAAAAGGACACTCACATACAGTTGACAGCAGGAGGCAGTGTTTCACTTCTCAGAGCAGCCCACTCAAGAGCACCAGAAAAAAAAGCAACCCTGGTGGGGTGTATTCCGAGTCCTCATTTGATCCCACCACATGGCACATTGCCTCGAGAATTTTCAAACTCAAATCTCGCCATATTTACATCCATAATTTATGATTCCCAATGTTATTGAAATTGTTCTCACTTTTGTCATGGAATTTCACATCGCCCATATAATATCAAACATGATTTGCAACAAGATAATCCTAAAGGTAAATATTTTCCAAAGTATTTGCACCAAAACAATGGAAAATGTATTTTGTCTATATTTGTAGTTTATCAGGCCACAAATATTCTGGTCAGCAGGGCCCATTTGAGATCAAATTGGAATGCATGTGGCCCTTCAACTCAAATCATCTTTATGACATTCTTGGTTGTGCTGTCATTTTTCTGTCAGGTATCACCACGTCTTGACTCAACAAAGGTTGGGAAATGCTGCTTGTCACTTTGGGGGACAGCTCAGGACCGCCAGGAAAGGAAACACCATCACTTGGAACCTTCAGAATAAAACTCGTGTTGATGCTGCTGATGATGACGAAGGCAACTATCATGATTGTAATAATGGCAATGATGATGACAAAAATCATGATGATGATCTTGATTGTGGCAGACACCAATGTGGATAATGTTGACAATGACAAAAATGATGGTGATGATGAGGTCATGTGACTGCACCTAAACATGATTCGCTCATCCGAGGCAATTCGATGACGGCCACCCTTCAGTCGCAACATAGACAAATAAATGGATTGGTTGCCCGTCACTCAAAGGACTTTTATAGAACACAGCATTAGTAACTGCAGCATGCTAAAGGTAACTTTTCTGACTCTGAATCTTGTTGCTGTGAAGTTGATATGCTCACCACATTTCTCCACCTCACTGCACACATGCGACTGCTAATATTACAGCATTTTATTGCTTTTTTTTTTTCTTCTGGTGTCACAGCAATAAGATTCCATAAGTGTGTGAGTGGCTAGCCAAAATGTATGCATACTGTCTTAATAATTAAAACTCATTCACTCCGTTGACAAGAACACTTGTCTATTCCGTTTTTTCAACCGGTCTAGGTTGGTGAGCATCTGATGCTACTCCACTGTAAATTTCAAGCTTGGAAACAGCATTACTGATGCACAGCCATACACAATAACTGACATTGATGCCCCATTTTAAATTTGAGATCAGTACAATTTGTGAGTCCACTGGTAGAAATGGCTGCATTTTGTGCAACCTACCTTTTTCTACTACTGATTAGCAAAGAAGAAAAAAGGGCAGAATCAAACTTATTTTCCTGATGAGGCTGTCTGTGCGTCCGTTTGATAGTTTTCTGAATATACCCTATTGATCACAATATTCTGTGTGTCTTGAAAATGCTCAAGAATGGCTGATAGTGTTGTCATGTTGACGGTAAAGATGACTGCATTCCCTACTGTGGCCTTGTAGAGCAGGGGTCCCCAACCGCCGGTCCGCGGACCGGTACCGGTCCGCCGGGCATTTGGTACCGGGCCGCACAGAAAGAACTTGCCTTAATTCCGTTTTATTTATTTCGGAATACGAAAGATGTTTTATTTTGAAAA